TTTCCTTCTGGATTATTTACAGGTTCTAATCTATATTATAGATAAGAGTACCATTAAAATTTTATTATTTTTATTAAAAAAAAAACTTTGATAGAAGATATTGCTTTAGGGAAAATAATAGTTTAGATTTATAGAATTAAAAAAGTTTAGTGAGTAATTTAGAAACTTTTTTAAATAAAAATAATTATTAAAAAATCAGTTTTTATTTTTAAAAATAATAAAATTTTAAGAATAAACAAGTATTTTTTTTAAAGTATAAAGAAGTAACAAGTATAAATTTTATTAATTCATTAGTTAATCGAAATTAATATTTCGATTAACTAATGAATTAATAAAATTTGAATTAAAGCAATATAATATTTTAATTACTAATATTGTAAGATCTAAATAAATATTAATTACTTAAATGTAAAGAAAGATTTTTGTTATTTATTAATAATCACAAAAACTTATTTTTTGTTTATTTATAATATTTTTATAAGATAAAAATACTGTACTTGTATTTTTATTCTAAAAATTAATTTCTATGGATATTTATTTTTATTTTGTTAATTTAAAGTAATGCTAACTTTAAACGTAGACTTAATAATATAATTCGTTTCATATTCAATTCAATACTTATACAAACGTTTCATAGAATTTTACTTCAAAAAATGTCTCTTCGAAACATTTTTTGAAGTAGACAGAAATTAGAAATAGACAGAATTTAGAAGTGTAATTCTTATATAATTAAAAAAAAGCATAAAATAAAAAAAATAATTGAAATAATGAAATATAAAAATTGTACAATATTAAAGACTAAACACAAAAAGTATTTTTAAAGTTTTTTGAATGTTCTCTATATTTTGTTCCGGTGTCTTTAAAATCTTTATTTTACTTCGGTGTAATTTATTTTATTCAAAAACTTTTATTACTTATACGATAGTAACTATGAAAATAATTCGTATATTTATTTCAGCTGGGACTTCATTTTTAATAATTATAATTTATTACTGTACTGTACAATACATGCATATAATAGAATATTTATTGTTTTCATTAACATAACATTTGTGTATTAATAATAATTTTTACAAAATTAATACTTTCTCGTGTGATATATTTTCATTTATTTATTTTTATTCATTATGATTTGTAATTATAACGAAAGAATGTTCATTCGAGGGACTGTTTTCATTTATATTGTTTTTAAAAATTTGTTTTACAATATTAAGATTATTAATAATTTAAAATTTAAATAGTTGCTATTATTTTTCAGTAAAATAATTAAGTTATTCTATATCAAAAAAGATGTTTGTATCTATATTTAGTATATTTTTACACTTGTTTAATGTTCAAAGTTCTTTAAACTTTCATTAATAGTACTGAGTTTCATTTAAGTATTAATTTTATTTTAAATTATAAAAAATCACAAAGTAAAATAGTAATTAGGCATACGTTAAAATTTATAAAACTATACATAGTCATTATGCAATTATTTTACATTAAAAAATAAATATATTTTATATATTTCTTGAAATTTTAAGGTTTAAGCTACACATGTCTCTAATTTTGAATTCTTGCCACAGACTCCATTCTTTGCTGTAAAACTTGTTTTTCTAGTGAATTTTTTAAATAAATGCTTCTCTCTTCTCGGCCAAATTGACTTTAATCATGCTACATCAAAAATAAAATAAATATATATATATATTATATCTAGAAACAATAAGAAATTTTAACAGTTTTCATCAAACAGAATTAAAGTTTCCTTTTTTTTACGATAAAAATAGTTTATTTAAAATAATACATTGTGTTTTTTTTATTTGATGTCTTAAATAAAACCAAAACATCATAAGTTACAACTGACTTGTGTCAAATGTAAGAAGGACAAGGAAGATTTAAAATAATCTTGCAATTTACTATTTGCTAGTATTTAAGGTCATATATCTAAGACTACTGCAGCTTCTTATTTTATAAAATTATTGCATTTTATGTACTGATTTGTGTGATAATAGGTTAAGGTTATAGGAAAATATATCGTTTTTATATTTTTAATATAAATACACATTATCTTTAGTGTAAACAAAATAAAAATGCACAGTTTTTAAAAAATTATAAAATTAGAAACAACATTTCAAAATATTGATATTAAATATTAAAAGCATGTAGAATACATAGCAAATGTTATAAAAACAATAAAAACTATATATTTAAATAATTGATAAAGTTGTAAATCTACTTTTAATGAATTTAACTTAAAATTTTCTAATTAATACAATTAATAAAATAAAAATTATTGTAATAAAACTATGTTGTAGGCTATATATGACAATTGCTTGATTTATATGTTGCTATTTTCATTTAGAAAACTTCTGCTAAGATATATTATTTAAATATATTTTAAAATATTTAGAATAATTTATTTTTAAATAGATTTATTTATGATTTATATTTAACTTGTATACTACTTAAAAAATGTTTAATATATCAATTATTATGGAATATAACTCTATGTTTATAGCGACATTTCAATAGTGAAAACCGATATTTTAATGTTGTTTTTACGTACATATATTAAAATTTAAAGACGTGAACACGAGAAATTTATATAATAAAATTTGTGTGGATAACAGTTAAAATATTTCAATATTATTATCTCATATAAAAACCATAATACCAATTTATCTACTTCTTGTAATAGAGTGATTTTGGTGATATCATAAAATTTTTATGGTCATATTCTATGTAATCGTAATATACGAGAAAAATGTTAATATAAACTTGCTAAAATAAAAACATTTATTTTATATATATAATAAATAAATCGTTAATAATATAGCTTAAACTTCTAAAATACCATTCAAATTATATAAAAGAATTTTATTAATTTATTTTTCATGATTTCGTAAATACTGATTTGAAATAAAACAATAAAAACATAAATTTTTTTAAAAATTGATTTGTTTGATATATAGCTTTAATGAGATAAATTTATTTTATAAATATACTTATCATTCAACAAAGCGTGAAATTATAACAGATAGAGGTTTACATTCTTTTTTCCTTAAATTATATATTCATATATATAAAATTAATTTAGAAAATATTTTATAATTGAT